CTCTACTGTATAGCACAGGGAACTATATTCTATACCTTGTAATAGCATATAATGAAAAAGAATATTAAAAGGAATATATATATATATATATATATATATATATATATGTATGTATTACTATGCTGTACACCAGAAATTTACACAACATTGTAAACTAATTATACTTCAATAAATCATCCAGCCAGCCACCTAATACAAAATAATAAAAATAAAATAAACAGGATAGATTAGACAAGTTCAAGGGTGTCTTCCTGTACTATTGTTCTGTGACCCTAAGATAGTTTTCAGGCATTGGAGGAAAGAGGTTGATGTTACCCTTGGGTGTGTGCTCTGCTCACTCCTCATCTGAAGTCAGTCAGCGGCTCTCCCTGTTGCTGACGAAGTGCCAGCCTTGAGCAACAGCTGAATCTCCATCCTTGGGGCCGCCCTTCACCCAGCCTTCTCCAATCGGGATGAAAGCTTTCATTTAATTCTTGTATAGGCAGCCCGTGTGAATTGCAGGCACAGCCTCTAAGTGATCTCTCTGCTCCCCGGCAAGCAGACGGCCTGACCGCTGATGGCAACTGCAGAGGAAGTGGTGGAATGTGGAAGTTTACATGACATCAGTGCACACACATCCTCCTGTCTCGAGCCAGGAACCCAGGCATCAGCTACTGTCATGGGGCTCCTTGTCCTCCCCTTCTCCAGAGCCCTAGGCTGCCTGGGAGTCTCCTGCTCCATGCTTGTCTGAGAGGATGAGCCTCTAAGCAGAACTCAAAAGAATTGGTTGAAACGAAAGTAACAAAAAAGTTTATTGCTTACATCGTCCGCAGCAAGCTCTGTACCAGAGATACACTCCATTCCTCCAGTCCTCAGATGCACCAAGATCCATTCGAAGGGACCTGCTCTGGTCTGAACATGTGTGCTCTGTCCTCCTTCCAAATTTGTATGTGGAAGTCCTACCCCACGACAGAGATGATGGTGTTAAGAGATGTGGCCTTTGGGAGTTAAGTCAGTCGTAAAGATGTCTTACAAAAAAGGCCCCACAGAGCTCCTTACCCGCTTCTGCCACATGTGGATAGACAGAGAAGTGTGCAACCCGGAAGAGGATCTTTGCCCCACCTCTTATCTCAGACTCCAGCCTCCAGAACTGAGACAAATAAATAGCACTTAGGCTGTGGTATTTTGTTACAGCAGCTCAACAGAGGGAGACGGGACTTGTCGCAGCCAGTCCCCTAATGCAGAGTGTCCTGTCCAGTGCACAGACATGGAAAACCATTCGATCTGCCTCATACTTAGGAGAAAATGCTCTGACATGTGCCAGCCCATGAGGAAATGGAGAATGTTGGTAGGAAGAGGGCCAGGAGTTTCAAAGTGCATGTTGTAGACATCTTCAGGTCCTTGGTACCTTTGCAGGCAGAAGAGAGAGTGAGGTGAAGGCGGTGGGTGGCTGGGAAAAGGCAGATTCAGCAGATCCTGCCCTTGGAAGGGCTTTGAAAGTAACAGTGGGAGCTCCAGGGTCCAACAGAGCTCCAATGGCATAGGTCAGTCTGGTTCTGCCTTCCAGAAACTGGCTCCCAGGTTCAGGTGAGGCCGGGAGCTATGCTCCAAGCACCCCTTAGGTGGCCTTTTAGGGCACTGAAGACAGGGACATCAGATCCCAGATTTTCTTTCCTAAACTTTCCTTGGATTCATGAGGACCTGGAGTCCTGGAGAAACTCTATATGTTCTTTATTTTTTTAGCTACCTTTTTTTTAATTGGTATGATTCCTGTACAG